CCTGTCTGATTCTTCATAACCCTGTGGGCCATAGCATGCTAATGCTGTCCATGGGATTTTCTTGGCAAAGATACTGAAATGATTTGTCATTTCCTTCTCTGTCTCATTTTTACAGATGAGGAAACTGAGGTAAACAGAAGTTAAGTGACTTGTCCAGGGTCACACAGCTTTTAAGTTTCTGAGGCTAGATTTGAACTCAGGTCTTCCTGACTCTAGGCTCAGTGCTCTACCCACTGAGCCATCTGGGGGCCTCTAAAGCCCAGGCTACCCCACCCTAGTTATGACTTGGTCTAATAAAGTATTGATATTGGTATCTATTATGCCTTTAAGTATAATGTAGTTTCTCTGCTTATCTATTTTATTATGTATATTTACTGTAGCTTAATCTGAGCTGAAACATACTAGATTTTCCTCTAGCCCTTCGTTTTAACTTTATGTTTCAAGTATGTTTTGTGTAAATATTGTTGTCTATTCTGCAGTCCTCTTCTGCTTGATGGGTGAGTTCATCCCACTCAAGTTCATGCTTATGATTATTAATATTTCACTCCATTCTCTCCTCTTTTACTTTTTCCTCTCCCACCCCATCTTTGCAGATAAGACGGTAGTAAAAGAAATGGAATTTGCTAAACACATAATCATGAGAGAGCAGTTGATTTCTGCTATCACTTCCCTTTTCTCCTCTCTTCCCTTTACCCCACTCCAGCCCAGGTTTTTATTTTTTCTTTCTTTCCTTTTAATTGCCTTTTGACCTTGTGCTCTCTCTAACAATGGAATTTGTTTTGCTATATCCTACCCTTATTCTTAAATTTCTTTTTCCTCCTTCCTAGTCCTGGTTCCCTCCTATTTCTCTTTTGAGTTTAAAGTATTTCTATGCCTGTGTGTATGTGAGTAAAATTGTGTTCAATTTTGCTTTATTCAGTTCAGATAAAAATGAAGTTCATGAGATACCCATTTCCCCCACTCCTTTCTCTATGTTCAAATACTCTTTATCTTATGCACTTCTATTACATGACAAGTGATTTCTCTGCTTATTTTCCTCCTTTCTTTCCTAGTATAGCCCTTATCTCTCCTGTTTCTATCTTCTTAGACCTTGAAAACAGAACCAAAACACCACAGGTCTTCAGATTCTTTATATTTATTTTTTTCTATGACCATTAATTATATTAGGGAATTGAGATTTGTCTAATAAAGTGATATTTAATAGGGATAAATTTTGTAAAGTTATATACCTGAGTTTAAAATATTAATCACGTAGGTCAAAGATTTGGTAAGAAAAGGACCCTGGGGTTTTAGTGACTTTTAAATCCAATGTTGTTCAACAACGTGAAATGACAGCTGAAAGACCTGATGAGGTATTAGACATTATAAAGATAGACTGTGTCAGCTAGTATGTTATCATTATTTTCCAGAACAGAGGAAATGATGGTCCTGCCATTCTCTGTTTCGATTAAAACATATCTGGAGTATTGTATTCAATTGTGGTTGCTGGATTTTAGGCAAAGTATTTACAAGAGATGGATTGTGTCTAGAGGAGGGTGACCAGGATACAAATTTGAACATTTGAAACAATGTTCTGTGATATGAGGTTGGTGCTAGGCTAGGCCTGACTTAATTATGTATGTTTGGGCTTGGGATTAGAAATGAGATATTCATAGACTGTTTGACACTTAATAAAAGGAATTTTACTCACTGATAGCTTGGAAAGGATATTCAGCAAAGACATAGCATTGGTTTGTATGGGCAAAGCTTCTCGTTTCCACATTTGCCAAAATAGAACAATCAGAAAGGTTTGTTGACTCCATGTTGATTTCTCATGGCAATGGAAAGTCTACTAAGCCTGAGAGTTTTGGGCTAGGGATTTATGCCTTATATTTTTTAGGGGGAAAATTAGTCTGTGTTGTAGGAATATTCCAGTTTTCTTAGATAATATTGTTGTGTGGTTTGTCCTTCCTTCTGGAAGAAGACCATCACATTAGGGAGATGATGACATGATGTGCAGTTGAATTGGATTTGAATGAGGGAGGGCTGTGCAAAGTCACCACCCTCATTTTCTCCTCCAGAGCAATCTGGGTCCTCTTAGGGCTCAGAGTGAATATGAACAGTAATGCCAGCAACCCTGAGGGTCTTCCCCTACCAGTGAGATTTTTTTTTTTAATTAAAGAGGCCATCCCTTGACTCACTTCTTAAAGGTAATATGTAGCAAATTTCTATTTGTGCAACAGGAGCTACTGGCATGGGCCCAGAAGAGAGCAGGAGTTGTTGTTTCTGCCGTAATAGTTAAAGTAACAACCTTTACATAACCTTGGAAGATTGTTATGAGGAAACTACTTTGTAAACATTGAAGTACTATAGAAACACCATTATGTTATAATGATGACGACCAGTTGAAAGAATTGGAGATGATTAGCCTAGAGAAGAAAAAGCTTAGAAGACATACGATAACTGTCTCAAGTATTTGAAGGGTTGCTTTGTACAAGATATGTTAGAATTATTTTGCTTGTCCCAATGAGAAAAACTAGAAGCAACTTAGTGGAAGCTACAGATTCAGAACTGATAGGAAGGGAAAATGATTCTTGATAATCAAAACTACTTGGAAATAGAATGAGCTATTTTGGCAGGCAGTGAGTTCCCCATTGGTAGAAGTCTCAAGCCAAGACTTGATGACCACATGTCAGAAATGTTATAGTGGGGATTTTCTACTTCAAGTCTGAGTTGGAGTAGATGATGCCTACTCTCTTTTCCAAGTCTGAGAACTTCATGCTTTTTGATGGGCCTGGCATATTTGGGGGACCAATATGCCTAGAGAGTAATGTTTAAGAGTAGTGGAAAATGAAGTCAGGGAGATTTTAGAAGGCCTTGAATTGATATTCTAAAGTCTAAAGACTTTGGGTTGAATTCTATAGGCCATGGATTACAGGTTGAAGCACTATCTCTTCCACCTTGGAAACTTTCACACTTGAATTTCCTTTAGATCTATCATGAGGAAATAATGAAAAATAGGAAGAAAGAAATTATGTACTTGGTATCCTTTTTCTTTTCCACTAAACCACTGTAATGGGTGAGATGAACCAAATCAAATGGCAGAGTCAGAATAGTAGTTTCAATAATGATAATAATAATAATAATAATAGTAATGATAATAATAACAAAACCAATAATAGCTAACATTTATATAGCACTTGCCATGTGCCAGGCACTGTGGTAAATTCTTTATGCTTATTATATCCTCACAATAACAACCTTGGGAGGTAGGTGTTATTATTCTCCCCATTTTACGGATGAGGAAACTGAGGCAAACAGAGGTTGTGACTTGACCAGGATCACACAACTAGCAAGTGTCCGATGTCATACTTGAACTCAGGTCTTCCTTATTCCAGGACCAGTGCTCTATCTACTGTACAACCTAGCTGCCAAAGCATTACAAAGCATTCTTCCTCCTCAACTTGGAGTGCACTCTTCTGCAAATACACAGAGTCTGTGATGGGGAAGAGTGGGTAAAACTTATAGTAAAGCAGTGGTGAGGCAATGCATAGGGGACACACACTGCCATCTCACAGCTCCAGAACAGTTTCTCCAGAGGGTCCTTAAGAAGGTTTGCTTTGATGAGTTGTCAGTGATAGATGTATCTTGATCTGCTGCTCAGCTAGCAGATGTAGGCAAATTGCCTAGCTGGGCTGGGTTGGCATGTCACTCAACTACTGAGCCCTTCTCAGAACGAAGAGTGAGTGAGTTGATCTGCTGGATTCCCTGGCCTTGCTCTTTGATGAGCAGCTGCTCTTTTCACAACCTCTAGCCTCTTACTTGTCTGGGTTTTGTAGTGCTCTTTTTACCATGGGAAATGGATTAGAAGAAGCATCCCCTCTTCAACTCCCTCAGATCCTCAGCTCCAATCAGCTCAAGAAAGTGTTAGGAAAGTTAATGTATTACATATTCATGATAGGTAATTAAGGTGATGTTTGAAATACTCCTAGCATATTCCCAGTCTTTAAGAAGGGTAGCTAATATAATCTCGCCTAAAAACTTTCCTTGCCCTACTGTCAGAGAGAAGCAGCTGGTTTGAATAGACCATTGATCTCACCTTGTATGGATATATTCCTAAATCGCATTCACCTGTTTCTAAAGCACTGGGAATAATTTTCTCTAAGGGAGTATATACAAACAGGACTGTAGGAAGCAGGGGTTCCTTAAGGATTGTGGATAGCATCGGCTTTCAAATACAGTTACTAATCTCAACAGAAAGGAGTAATCCAATCACAGGATTAAGTTGTTTGAAGGGAGGGGCAGCTGGCGTTAACCAAGGCTAAGTATTCTAGTTCATCTGGAAAATGAAGGAAGAGGGGAGCAGGTGCTTAACACAATGTGCAAAAAACCCCAGGAACCTCCTAATCCTTTTGGTTTGCAGTAAAAGAAATGAAAGGACTCTTCCTCTGTTTGGTAAGGGTAGGTTATGTGGACCTGACAGCTGGGTGACAAATGCCCAGAAGCCAAAAGGATGGATTTTCCCAGTGACTGTATCATTTCTTGGTGTGGGGCCTGTTAATTTTGTTAGAGCCTTGATGGATAGATCTTTAAAAGTTGTTTTGGGTTTTTATTAATTCTAGATTCCCTCCTTTCCCCTCGAAGACAATGTTATGAAAATAGTCATGTCCTGTTTGCATTGGAGTATCAGACATGATTTTTTCTTACTCAGGACATAAAGCAATCCACTTTCGAGTATTTCCTGGCATGCATTCATCTTATCCATTTGAGAATAGAAGTGGGTAATGACCTTTGTGGGTTTTTAATTTCTTGAACTCATCATCCTTTCCAAGTTTTGACCATATCCTTTCCACAATCCTTTGCTTTCATCAGGTGGGTAGAAAACTTCAGTAACAATAGTGGCCATCATTCGTCTAGAGTGCCAAGTATGCCAACTCAAACAAGCCGCTCCATTGATTTATTGTTAATACCAAAAACAAAAAAAGTAATACATGTAACCCTTTTTATAAATTTTTACACAGTAAACTGCTTGGATCAACATGTGCAGAAGTCCCCGGATAGAATTGCGTTGATCTGGGAGAGGGATGAACCTGGTACAGAAGTGAAAATCACATACAGGTATGATGCATTCTCTCTGGTCATTTTTCAATATGAACAGCATGCTCTCTATCACAGCAAAATTATCTCTTTGCCCCTATTTTGAAAAAATAAAAAGCCAGGCCCAATAAGTTCCTCCCCACCTCCCCTTCCCAACTTGGCAAAAACTTGTGGCTAAAAATCCATGTTTAACAACCCTCCCAGCCCCTCTCCCCCCAAAAAAAACTCTAAAGAGGATTGGGGATGGAATACTTCTGGCTGAGAAAGGAAGGGAAAGATGCCCAGCTTTTTAAAACTTCTCCCCGCCTTCCCCCTTCCCCCTACTGCCACTATCTTGATTATGTTTGCTCCTCTAATTTAAAGCCTTCATGACTCTTTATTACCTGTTGGGTAGGACTATATTCCTTAGCCTGCATTTAAGACTACAGAAAATCTCTTCCTATTCTTTCCTTCACATTCTATTTCTACTGATGCACAAAGTATACAAATGACTTAATCTTCATCATTATAGATTCTCTTCTGACTTCAGGAGCCACTGCTCCCTTTCTAAATGTTATGAGCCTTGGAAATTCATTTAGTTGGGAATCTCCAGTATATATGGATGCTAATTCACTGATTTTTGTTCTGATTTTAATCACAGAACAAACCATCCAAAGTTTGTGTGATTCCCTGCTGATTTGTTTTCTATTATTGATTATGATTTATTAATCTTCAGTAATATGTACAACATACAGATAGCAGATATTATTTTTGCCATTACAGCATTTTTGACCATTGGTCCACAGACTAGTATTGGCCCATGACCTTATCTCTCTATTTGTTTAAATAGATGTTCCTCCTATCTGCTACTAGATGTGTTCTTCTAGGGTTGGTGAAAGGGGCCATAATCTAAATTGGTAGTCTATACATTTCTTATTTCCCTGAAGCCTCTTTTACTTTTAGATCAGGCTAGTTTTTTACTGTATGCCACATACATAGTATGTAAATTTGTTAGGTTGTATTGTTGAGGCTTTTCTTTTTTTTCAGGTCTGGAAGGTGATAATAATTCCTAGGCAACTCTCTAAGACTGTAAATTACAGATGAGTAGCTAATTTATATTGATGGAGAGAGTTTCTACACCGGGAAATCTGTATATTGAAATCACAGGTCTCTCTCCCCCCCTCAAAAAACATCAACAATCCACAGCATAACACTTGTTTAGTGCTTTAAAACACCCAGAGCACATTATATACATTGTATCATTTGTACCTCACAATATGCCTATCAGGTACATACTACCCCCATTTCACAAATGAGGAAAATAAAGGTCGGAGAAGTTATGTGATTTACTCATGGATACAAAGCTAGTAAAAGTGAAAGATGGGTTTAAATCCAGGTCTTTTTGTCACTTAGTACAGCACTCTATTCACTGCTGCCACACTGTCTGCCTCTGTTCCCTGCCCATGCTAATTTATGAGCTCTATGTGTCACAGGTCAAGGTGGCTCATGGTTGAGCTACAACTTTGGAGGCAGGTGTTTAACAGCATGGTTTAATCGAACCCGAAATAAATGTCACTGATTTCTAGAATATGATCAATGTCTGTTGTATTCTTATTCCACGCTCTTGAAAAGTAATTTCATTTTGAATCACAGTAGTCACAACAATGTTACCTTCCTAACAATTAGAACTCTCTAGCTGTTGAATAGTAGTTGCCTTCCTATATAGTAGATTGCCTTTCACTGCAATTCTTAGGCTCATGGGCTGTTAGAACTGGAAGGGACCTTAGAGGTCTTCTAGTCCAAGGTCTAATGTCTAAATTCCTCATTATACAGGTGAGCAGCTGAAGCCCGGAAAAGTTAAGTTATTTGCCCTAAGTCACATGGGTTGTGAGGGACAGATCTTCAGGTGGAGCTGAATGATCCTTGCTGGGGGTATTGTAGGATTCTTGTTCAGTTACAGGTTGTACTTGACCACTGAGGTGTCTTTCCAAACTCTGAGGATCAGATTCTGGTCTGCTTGCTCAGGGATTGATACATTGAATGACTCTGTACCTTTACTGTCTCATTTGAGGTACCCCTTGCTGTACAAATACCTAGTTAATGTTAAGCTATGTTCACTAATTTTATTTTGCTTGTGTGGCTGGTATTGAGGAATGTGGCTCTCAGAAAACCTGAAAGGCTCTTCAGAATGACATGTGATATGCATAAGCTTAAGAGTAATTTAAACTAATTGGCACACTAGGCTGCTCTATTCTGGAGACATACAATCCTGAGCACAAGCAAATTTTTCACTGTCCAAAACAGCTAAACACACACACACACACACACACACACACACACATCCTTTAACTGACATCTTGTAAAGATGATTGTAGACTGTGAGGTAGTGTCGATCCTGGGTGAATACCCATTTCTGCTCATTGTTTGATGATGGAAAAGAAAGTTTGAATAGTATGTTTACAGGCCATCTAAATTACCAACTATCCAGCACGGGATTTGGGTTAATGATTGTCCCGGGTCATTTCAGGTTTTTGCCATGGTTTCTATTTCAGAAAGCCCAGCTAGGTATTGGTACTGATTGTCCTGCCAAAAATGAACTGCCAGTATAGTCTGCTCCTATGAAAGGCTGGTCGTTTCAGCTGCCCAAACAGGAGCTACTTCCCAATGGAGGAGAGGCCTAAGAGGAATTGGCAGGGTCAGCAAACCCTGGCTACCCCACTGACCCTAAGAAACTGACCTTAGCTTTCATTCCCTCTACGTCAATAGCTTCTAATGTAACTGACAGAGGGAAACAGAGGTAACATGGAGTTTATGCCCAGAATGGGCATCTAAGCCTCTTCTCATGTTCAGTAACAGTGAAGGAGATGCTACTTTAGGAGCCTTGGATGGTATGACCTTTGCCCTCCCTGTGACTCAGTTCACACTTGTATGGCATAATAGATAAGAGCGTTAGGCTCAGTCAAGAAAACATGAGTCTAAATCTTGACACTGATAACTTGTCAGCTACCTCATCCTGGTCGGGTCTTGCAATATTTCTATACCTTAGACAATCCCCTAGGACTTAGGAGATAAACCATAGATGATGGCTCTCTTCCTGAATGGAATTATAACATAGATCCTTTCTGTATTAGTACACATGAGTTCACACATACTGGAATGGAAAAAAAAAAAAAAAACCTGAGCTAGGAGGGAAGAGAGTTGTGTTCTACACCCAGGGTTACCACTTGTTAAGTTGTATGAGCATGGACAGAATGGTACTCAGATGGATCTGTGCTCTCACTAACATGAGTACTCCTTTCAACAATTCAGATTACAGCTCATCCACGCCCTCTCAACACATGCTAGTGTTGTACACTCAAAAGTGCAGGGGGCCCTCCTCTAGTTCTCTTGACATTGTATGCATACCTTTGGAGCACACAGGCTGTCCTCGGGAACTTCTTTACTCTCATCACATGACCAATCCACCTTTTTTTCCTTTTGAGAACTATTTGTTCATATCTTTTGATTATTTATCCACTGGGAAATAGCTTTAGGTCTTATATATTTATATTAGTTCCCTATCTATATCTATACCTCTATCTCTATATCTTGGCTATCAGAATCTTACCAGAGATGTTTGGTACAAAGACTTCCCCCCTCCAATTGATGGGTTTTCTTCCTAACCTATTTGCATTGCCTTATTTTTGTGCAAAAGAATGTTCATTTCTATTTCTCCTTTTTGTGATCATGTCTATCCTTGGTTTGGTTAAGAATTCTCCCCTTAACCATAATTCCCACCTTCCTTTCCTGTCACGGATTTTTCTATTGACGTCCTTTATTCCATTTTTCTTGTACAAATGAGACAAAATTCATAAAGTGCTAAGGTTAGCACAGTGTCTGGCATCAGGAAGACTCATCTTGCTGAATTCAAATCTGACCTCAGATACTTACTAGTTGTGTGACCCTGGGCAAGTCACTTACCCCTGTTTGCCTCAGTTCCCTCATCTGTAAAATAAGCTGGAGAAAGAAATGGCAAACCATTCCAGGATCTTTGCCAAGAAAACCCCAAATGGGGTCACAAAATGTCGGACATGAAACAACTGAACAACAAATAAATACTTGTTTTCTTCCTTCTTTCCTTATATAAGTATTTATAGAATATGCTTATATATGTTATATCATTTTAATCTCATAACCATGAGATTAAATCTCATAACCATGTGAGGTAAGTGATATGTTATAGCCATTTTAAAGATGAAAATCCCAAGGCTAAGAAATACCAGGTAGTTTACCTGAGGCTACACAGCTGGTAGCTGCCATAGCTGGCCTGGAATCTAGCTCACTTGATTTCAAGTTCAGAGCTCTTTTCACCATGCCATCCTCTTTTAGTTTACAATCTCCTATATGTTGAATTCAAGTGAGGAAAAGGTGAGATCATACTTTAGAAGTAGAGGTATTATTTAAATAGAAGGTATTAATGTAGATGTTACAAATACATACATATGTAGTATGGACTGTAGTATTCTATTTACACATGTGCATGTGAGCATTTATTGCATACTTTGATGGTAGTAACCTCTATAAGGCATGCAGAATTTTACACAATTTAAATATTCTCTATATAAATAATATTTTCAAGCTTATCTTCCTCCTCAAGCTTATCATCACCCACTGAGGTGCTGCTTCTTCATTGGCCTTTTTTTTTTTTTAAAGGATGAGATTATACCATAGATTCTGTCTTAGGAATCCTCAAGGAGTATAGGAGTCAACTTATAATCTTATCCACCCTAACAGAGAGGCACTAGGAACTTCACAGTAAATAAATAGCCAGCTCTTGCAGCAGTTCAAGAGAGGCCTAAGCTAAGATGATGTCAGTGGGAATGGAAACCATGTGGAAGGCTATTTACTTAGCATACCATTGGTCACGAGGATGAGTGATCAGCACAAACCTACCATCGTCACTAGGGGAAAAAAAAACATATCAAAATGATTGCGCATGACCATCAACATATTTATTTGTGGTGCTACTTTGAAAAAAAGCCAGTTTCCATCTGGGGAATTTG